CTTCAGTTTTTTCTACAGTAAGTGTATACTGAAAACTTCATATCTATTCAAACTCCTACGTTGACTCAAGTGTGTGTTTTTAAGCAGTCCTAAAACATGGGTCCAATGAACACTTCGTACACGAATGATTCGCTATAAAAGTATAAAAGTTAGATTATCGAATTAAAATAATTCAGTTTTACAGAAGCTTTTCTCGGTGATCTATGTCTGACAGCGGCTTATTTCAAGTCAGGTTTATGTATTCATGTGTGATAATTTCACGGTGATCTATGTCTGACATCGGCTTATTTCAAGTCAGGTTTATGTATTCATGTGTGATAATTTCACAATGATCTATGTCTGACATCGGCTTATTTCAAGTCAGGTTTATGTATTCATGTTTGATAATTTCCCAAATGTTTAACTAATTCAAATTCAGTCTTGACTAGATAGTAATTAAATGTTGTGATTCGGCATACTTGACTATCGAACGCTCCACTCGCACTTAAGGAGCGTTGAAAAGTCATGAGAGTTCATAATAAAAGTCATTTAGGTTTTCGTCAAAGTAAACTGTAAAACAGTATTAGAAATCTACTTACAAATATCAATTCAAATGAGTCCGGGTGTTAGGAAAGCTAATGCTTCATTTTACATATGTGTGTCCCTAAAATAATATCGCTTTAACTACCTCTCTAAAAAGTCATCCAATAATTAAGCATGTTAAGGAGCTCTAATAGATAAAATTTGATACAAGTTATATTTGTGACCTTGAAACGGAAGTTAGTTCAATTCTGCTATTACTCCCTTGAAACCCAGGTTAATTTACAATTATGTTGTTACTCTCTTGAAACTCAAGCTAGTTTATAATTCCACTGTTATTCCCTTGAAACCCAAGGTAGTTTACGATTCTTCTGTCTCTCCCTTGAAACTCAAGTTAATTTACAATTCTGCTGTTACTCCCTTGAAACCCAAGTTAGTTTACAATTCCACTGCTAGCCCCTTAAAACTCATAGTAGTTTACAATTTTGTTGGTACTCTCTTGAAACCCATGCTAGTCTACAGTTCCGCTGTTACTTTCTTGACACCTAAATCCGTTTACAAATCCGCTATTACTATATTGAAACCCCAGTTAGTTTACAATTCTTCTGATACTCCCTTGAAACCCAAGTTAGTTTACAATTTTGCTGTTACTCCCTTGAAACCTTGGTTTTATCTAAATATTGTTTAGGTTTAAATACCATACACATATCATTTTCCAATCATTCTTTCTTTAACTCTTGCAAAAACGTATCCAACTTGTAATTTATTACATTAATGATACTGATGTAAAATATTAGTGACTCATCTCTATATATAAAGAACAAAAATCCGTAGGTCTGTCTGTTTGTACGTTATCTAACTACTGCTAGGTTGTTGAGCCAATCTCAACCAAACTTTGTGGTATGATAATCTGGAATAAGGAGCATGTTAATTGATCGTTCACAAATTCCTTCATCCCCATAATTGTTGTTACTGAGAATTTATTATTTTTGATGTAAATTAAAGTTAACTACGTTCATAGATGGCGCCAATTCCTTGCACCAAAAACAAAATAACTTTTCTATAAAACAACATGAACACAATATGAGAAGAGGGCACATAAACCTTTCATGTATCTCAGAGGGTGCAATCGCACTCTCTATGGAGGAATGCAATGGAAAAAATAGCCACCACTATTGGAATACTACATAAATTTAGCTGAATTTCTACTCCAACAGCCATCATAAGGTTGATATGAAGGGCCATTTTTTGAGTTATACGCACTTCCTACTTTGACTCGTGATCTTTCAACTTCGGCCCGTAACACACTTCTGCGGTAAATGACCTTCAATTAATTAATCCCGTGAATTACTATGAGAGGACATTAAAAGGTGAGTGTTGAAAGCGGATAGCAGAAAGCACCCTTACCCGCCATCTCTTTGGCTGTTACCTCTTTCTACAAAATCACCCTAACCATCTCACAGTGTATACCGTGTTTTAAATATATACATAGTGCGTTCTTAAAGCTTATATAAAACTTTTGGTGAGATAATAATGAATACTGTAATAACATATTATGTTTTGAATAAATTGTGTGAAAGTAAGGGTTTTTGTAATATTTATCATAACATCCACCCCCGCATTTTTTTAAGTTCATAACCCGAACAAACGACGGGTACCTCAGCTTGTACAAAATATTACTAGAAAAATAAAATATATCACATTGTAATGTAAATGTAACCATATTTTTCAATAATTGCAGGTTGTTCTTCTTTTCTTTGTTCATTAAAATATATTTTATTGCACTTTTTTTCTTGTTCAGTAAATATTTATTTTGTTGTACTTCTTTTGTTTTTTTCAGTAAAATATATTTTGTTGTACTTCTTTTTTTTCAGTAAAATATATTTATTTTACTTCTTTTGGTTGTTCAGTAAAATATATTTTGTTCTGACTTTTCGTAGACTAAGCACAAAGTAAAATAGTTCATCCAATTTGCAAAAAAAAAAAATTATAAAGGAAGCTTAATGCTGTTTTTTGTTTTTCTTTTCTTAAAGTACAACTTAGAGGATGATAGTATATTTTACTTTTATGTGATATTCAGAAAATATTTCTGATAATTTATTGCGTACAGCAAAAATTGTAATCCGTTTGCATGTACGTATATATAGATATATAAGTGCATACACACACACACATATATATTTCGAAATTTCCCAAGACAGCACTGCTAATACAACGGATAACAAAGTTTTACTAGGCTACAAAGTACGTTGTTACCGCCTACACTCTGTTGAAACACTTGTACCTTTGTGAAGCTCTACTTAGCACATTAATGACGTCATTCAGGTACAGTATTCAATGTAATAAGTAGCTAAGATATATCGAATCGACTGAAAATCCTTGTAAATACATACTGGCACAAAGAAAGTAATTTAACGAATTTTTTCTCTTTTCAAAGCAAATAGACAATATTACAAAAACAGACACCTTTGCAGAATACTTTGAGGCTTGTGAGGTTTTTTTATTTTGTTTTTATTGCATGTATAATTTATTTTAAAGTTTAATAAATCTAATTATTTCCGCTTTTGGTACTAGTATACTTATCTATTCATATCACTGACTTTTAACGTGGAATGACTTGTAATACAAAAATTCAAAGACAGCAAAATGTTATTTTAGCAATAAGTTGTTATGGGATAATCATTGTAATGTTATTTTAGCAATAAGTTGTTATGGGATAATCATTGAAATGTTATTGTAGCATTAAGTTGCAATGGGACAATTATTGAAATGTTATTGTAGCATTAAGTTGCAATGGGACAACTATTGAAATGTTATTGTAGCATTAGGTTGCTATGATATAATCATTGAAACGTTATTATAGCATTACGTTGCAATGGGACAACTATTGAAATGTTATTATAGCATTAAGCTGCTATGGGATAATCATTGAAACGTTATTGTAGCATTAAGTTGCAATGGGACAACTATTGAAACGTTATTGTAGCATTAAGTTGCAATGGGACAACTATTGAAATGTTATTGTAGAATTAAGTTGCTATGGGATAATCATTGAAACGTTATTGTAGCATTAAGTTGCAATGGGACAACTATTGAAACGTTATTGTAGCATTAAGTTGCAATGTGACAACTATTGAAATGTTATTGTAGAATTAAGTTGCTATGGGATAATCATTGAAATGTTATTGTACCATTACGTTGCAATGGGACAACTATTGAAATGTTATTGTAGAATTAAGTTGCTATGGGATAATCATTGAAATGTTATTGTACCATTACGTTGCAATGGGACAACTATTGAAATGTTATTGTAGAATTAAGTTGCTATGGGATAATCATTGAAATGTTATCGTAACAACGTTTAGGTGTTAGGGATAAAACGGTAAAAAAATGTGTTTTTTTAATTACGTCTTCATTGCCTGTAGCATTTCTCTTTAATCTTAATAATTCTAAATATTTTGGTACAAATATAATTCTGCATGAAATATTTTGTTTATTTTCTTTATTATTTTTTTCAAGTTCGAATAAAAATGATTAACGGTGTAAGTGACAAATAATGTTTTATTGTGGTATAGTGCACTTAGTAGGATGTTTATATTGTAGCTGTCAAACAGTATGGTTAACTGGCTCCTATTGTCTTTTGTCATTAGTTAACCTATTGAGGTTATGCGTTGCTGTTTCAAGTTACGATATATTAATACTTTTGTAAATACTTTTCTAATGAATCAAGGCTTCTTGTCTGTTGACTCAAGATTTAACCAGATACAAGAAAACTGTTGAATAATATTTACTAACTTTGGTAGAATGTGTTCACTCGATTTGGTATCATGCAAGAGCATTTAAATGACTTTCGCCTTTATATTATATGATAGCATATTAAGATGCTCTAAATATTTTTAATAGTTAATTTAATTTAGTATTCAATAACTAATCTTATTAGAAACACTAAATTTTGTTTGTCCTTTAAACTTTTATGCAATAATGTGTTTTTCTAATTTTGATTTCATAAGAAATTAATGCATAGTCCGTGGACGTTTACAGTTTTGTTTACTATTGATTAGTAATAACAAATAACCTTACATTTCCCAGAAGGTAGTTTTATTTACTATTGATTAGTAATAACAAATAACCTTACATTCCCCAGAAGGTAGTTTTGTTTCATTGAAAACCGCAAGTAATTACCTACAAGCCGTAAATTGTATTCTGTTATAAAAGTGTGTTAGTTTTTTTAATCTGTGTATATTATGACTTGTGATGAAAAGGAAATTTAGGAGGAACTATTCTAATGAACTCCTATTACCTTACCTTTGTTACCCGATGTCCAAAAGGAGTTTATAACAAAATAGCATCGGAAAAATTAATGGTGTGAAGTCATGGCTCACTTTTCTCATAAAATTAACGTCAACGTTACTTGTGATGTTATAGAAACAATGATTTGATGTTTAAAACGTAATACAATCTAAATTAAATACTTTCTCCAGTTGTATGCCCTTAGAAAACTAAAGCAAGGGGATGAAAAAAAAACGAAAGCTCCCTTGGCTGACAATTATCGCCCAGCTCAGCCACTCAACCATCGAGTGTTGAGAACAAATATTGACTTCAGGAGGAAACAAGTAAGTTGGGCCAATATTATATGAATTGCTGTTATGTTATGCTGTTATGTTAAACTTATATTAAAGTTTTTCTTCATTACCCATTCAAGCCGTCTCCAGCCATTATATGAATTTATTCTTCCGTTAAATAGTTTTATCATTTATCTTACTCGAACGTGTTAAGCTATAGCAATATTATATCATGCTTATCGATGCGAAATTTCACAGCGAAACGCAGTGTAATAGTAAACTCTACGTTGTCGTTACACATTTGGATATCTTCACTTAAATAAACAAGTAAAATAAATATAAACATCATTTGAGAATATCTTTACTTTCTTTGATATTAACTATTCTAGTCTGCATAGCAACAATATAATAAAATGTTGAACACCATATGCAACTAGTTCATTTGTATTAATATTTCCCATTTTACTATATTTTACTTTCTTCGCTTCTAAACACACCACTTTAAACAGTAAAATAGACGTGTAACAAAACTTGATAATTTCATTTTATTTTCCTTCGTTTTATGTTTATTACCTCCGAACTAAGGAATTGTATCTATTAAATAATTAATACTTGGTATTCAATATTTGTTGAAACTCAATTCTCTATCCATCTTTATGATGTACAGCCGGGATCCGATGTAAAACGACTCCGAAATTCTTTGTTCTTCTCGGACTGTTACCGATAGCATAAGCGAGTAAATGGAAAGTTTTAATTTACCTCTAAACGTCTATTTGAAATTAATAACTTGAGGCAAATCATGTAAAACAATTCAACGGTCGATGACAGAGACACTTTTATTTTGTTGAGTCGACTCCTTGTGGCTATTCAGTTGTCAGATAAATGTAATGGATTTTCATTAAATTCATAAGATTTGTGTTAATATTGGCACACAGGCTTTTATACATAAGTATTAGATATTATTATTTTTTAACTCGATGAAAAGTCACTACTACTACAAATATCTAACATAAAAAGTAAAATCAAATCATTAAAACATTTTAAAGAAATCTCTATAGTATACTCAGTTCATCATGTGACTGACATAACAGAAAACAAGAATATAGTTTCTTCCTTTAACACTTCAAAAAAACATGAGATTTCTTTCCTGAAAATATTAGACTCCAAAACTTAACATCATTCAGCGATATTCCAGTAGCAATAAGCTCTCAGTTTTAATGGTTCTCAAACTTTCTTTAAGTCAGTTGCTTTTTGAAATTTAATTGCAAACTACGGAAATTATTCTTTGAGTTTGGTTAATCCTTATTGGCAATACCATCACAGTCTGAAATTTAAGTACTCTCGGTAAGGTTGTGGTGGTCGAATATCAATCATTGCCATGGTTAGTAGTCTGTATACGATCATTTAAAAGTAATTACTGATTAGGTATTTTACGTTTTGTAGTGCCACTAGATACGAATTAGTAATTATCTCTTAGTTTACTCTATATGTTTTGGCTACTAGTCTGATTCAACTAACTATTTGAATATTTTAGAAGTGTAACTAGATTTTCCTGCTAAATTAGCTAAGTCTTTTAACATCCCCTTTGAATTTGGACTCTAATAGAAACAAAAAAGACCAACATAAATTGGAATTCAGAGTTCATAAATGCAGTAAACATACAAGACTTCGAAATATCGAACTCACTGCAATAGCTGGTTACAGATAGTAGACTAACGCTAATTTAATAGGATATGAACCACACTTATGAAAAAAAAGAAGCCTTTTAAGCCTAATCTAGCACAAAAGTGAGCACATTCTGGATACCCACCTTGAAGATATCCAGAGAGTTAGTTGAATGATATCCCAATGGGATGAGATCTCGAACGAATGAATAGCAGACCCATCTTCCTAGCAAGAAGACTCACGATCGGATCTCAGCTCTTACTACTGCATATAATGGTATAGTTCTTCTTGTATCAGATCCCTCCTGATGGCGGCAGCCAGTACGTAGAGTATAATCTAACTGGTAACAATAAATGAATAAACATTAACAACTAGCAATTATTGTAAGTGATTGTATTGGCCACTAACCATGACAGTTAGTTTTCAATTTATTGTATGCTAAATCTTCATCATAAGTACTTAACTCTTTCGACCCCTGTTGACTTTTAACTGAAATTTTGGGTTCGATTCCCGCGGCAAACACAACCCTGTTAGCTGATTGTGTAGCTTTGCGTTTAAACAAAACAGACAATTCAAACACTAGGTTCTACTTTTACTTTTTATAAATTTATTCAAATTTAAATGGCATTTCCTTCATATTTTACGATGATAGTTTAATAAAATAATTACAATTCGTTATTTGAATTCATAATAATACATATTTTAATATCTCTTACTTAGTGACTGTCATTTTTTCTGAAAAATACTATAGGCCTTCTTGTTATAAGTTCCTAGGTAGCTTAGCGGTAAGTTTCAGAACTTAAAATGCTAAAATCTAGTGTTCGATTTAGAAATGGACAGAGCGCAAATAGCACAAGGTGAAGCTTTGCGCGATATAACAAAGTCTCATTATAAACTGTTATGAGCATATTGCCATCTCTTGGTAGTTTTAGAAACTAAAGAAGCAGTTCCAACTCTATCATACATGTATGAGTTAGTTTTGAATTTCGCGCAAAGCTACACGAGGGCAATCTGCGCTAGCCGTCCTTAATTTAGCAGTGTACGACTAGAGGGAATTTTGACTAATCAATATATATTCTATACTCTATTTTTTTTTTGCAATTAATGTAAATAAAAGTAGATTACTTAGAATTACATTTCTTTCATGTTGAACTACTGCAAGAGAAATGTCTAGTAAATTAGTATAAGTATCGTGGTTCATTTATTGTACGAATACTGAAATAGTATTTTACTGAAGTTGATTTCTCACGACACTATTATCATGGGTTTACTTATACATGTGGCCCGGCATGGCCAAGTGGTTATGGCTCTTGATTCGCAATCTGAGGGTCGTGGGTTCGAATTCCCGTCCCACCAAATATGCTCACCTTTTCAACCGTGGGAGCATAATAATGTGACGGTCAATCGTTGGTAAAAGGATAGCCCACTATTAGTTGGTAAAAGAGTAGCCCGAGAGTTGGCGGTGGGTGGTGATGACTAGCTGCCTTCCTTCTAGTCTTTCGGAGACGACTAGCGCAGATAGCGCTTGTTTAGCTTTGCGTGAAATTCAAAACACACACACATACACTTTTTGAAAAATATTGATCTATTTCACAAGTTTAAGTGAAACCTGAGTCTGTGTGAGTATTGACGAATAAATGAGACTAATCATGTTTACGTTAAAAATTCAACATTTCCAATAAAAGTACAAAGTTTTCAATTATCAAATATGATACTTTTTTACATATATTTGTATAGTTGATTATCACATGTTTTCTATGTTTTGTTTTTTTTACTCCAGGGCAAAAGCTGTCCAACAATGTACCAGGATCACTTCTATGAGGGTAGGTACGACCAAGCGTAATGGATTTTAGTGTAATATCTACTACCTTCATCCTCGAAGCCTTTTAGGTTTTTTTACACGTCTAGACGAGGCCACTACTACACCTTATAATTCTCGAAAGCCCCAGGGAAATCAGGTTTTATTGAATTGACTGACTTTACTTGAAATCCTTCACATGTTAATAAATATCAAGTTTGATCTTCACGAAAATGCTTCACATTCTTTATGACATAAATAAAAATCTGTTACTGAAAATCAAGAGCATTTGAATTTTCTAATTTAAGGGATCAAGACATAAGTGACTGATTTCAGAATATCATAAGCTAAGTTGATCGAATTGACAGTATTCATTCTTGTTCTTGAAAAGTCACCAATACCAAAACACATTTCCTTACGAGTAAACCTCAGGATACGACACGGTAACTGAGTTTTCTGATAGCCAGTATCCAATTGTTTGATCCGCACGCTCAATATGTATATATAAGCATATGTTAAATGCTATAAAACAGAAAAAAAATCAACATATACTGATGTATTTATATTAAATCAAATTTTCCTGAAGAGCTCCATTTCCTTTTAACTGGAATGGAATTCCAATAAGACAGCACAAATATTTGAAAATCAGAATATTTTCACGAAACTCTATCCTGGTGTAAAAGTTTAATCTGCATTTGTATAAAGAATTGTGGTTTTAAATTGTTTTTCATCAGTTTTGAATTACTTATTGTTGTTCTAGAACAAACTTTAATAAGATAACATGCTGTATGGACTTCAAAATGATGACAGGGATGATATTTTTTATTACATAAAATGTCTCTGTAAGTCTAGTCATTAAGCAAAGCATTCCAGACGGTTTCCTCATTAAAGTCAGTTTTCACACTTTTCAGTAGAATTATGTATGGTGCTTCTTTATGTAGATTCCCTAATATTGAGTGCATAAAATAAATTTAGAGTGTTATCAAAACAGGTTTGGAAGTTTCATTGTTTTCTTACTGTGCGTGATGATGTGATTTCAAGATATATCTTGGTGTGCTTTTTGTTTAGACAATTCACAGTGTCTTGTTATTAATGTACGTGATGGTATACGTTCTACTTGAAAGCTGTACTTTGTTGATATTTTGTAAAATTGTGTATTTTTGTAAATTTAATATTTTTTATATTATATATGGTAATGGATTTAGTGTCTGGAAGTTCTACTTTGTTGTAGTTATATTTTGTAGTGTTTGTGGTGTCTGGATGCTTTGCTTCGTTGCAATTGTAAATGATATAGTAGGGTAATTGTTGTTTGAATGTTTCACTTTGTTGGGTTGTGATGGTCAGTCACATTTGTGAATTCTTGAATAAACGATCATAAGAAACAAATTGACACGTCTAAATTAAAAAAATGTTCTAGTTGATTTTTTGCGACGATTCGAGCAGACTCCCTTCATTAGGCAGTAAGGACCATCCTACAACGGAATTAGGCCCAGAAAGGGTCTTTACTGCCTAAGGAAAAGCTTCTGCTCGAAACGACGCACAAAATATACTAGAAAAGGTTTTAATTTAGAGGGGTTAATTTACTCCTTGTTATCATTTATCCAAGTTTTTCTTCTCATGTATTGCGGAACAATAATCATGTGATTATTTCATTTTGTTTTAATGTGTATGTGGCGAACTTTATTTGTGGCTGTCTTACTTTGTTGTATTTGTGTAGTGTTAAAAGCTTGATTGTTGGCTGTTTTACTTCGTTGTATTTGTGTAGTGTAAGATACTTGATTTGTGGTTGTTTTATTTTGTTGTATTAGTGTAGTGTTAGAAACTTGATTTGTAGCTGTTTTATTTTGTTGTATTTGTGTATTGTTAGATACTTGATTTGTAGCTGTTTTATGTTGTTGTATTTGTGTAGTGTTAAGAACTTGATTGGTGGGTTTTACTTCGTTGTATTTGTGTAGTGTTAGATACTTGATTTGTAGCTGTTTTACATTGTTGTATTTGTGTAGTGTTAAAAACTTGATTGGTGGCTGTTTTACTTCGTTGTAATTGTGTAGTGTTAGATACCAGATTTATGGTTGTTTTATTTGTTTTTTTTGTAGCGTTAGAAACTTGATTTGTAGCTGTTTTACTTTATTGTATTTGTGTAGGGTTATATATTTGATTTGTGTAGTGTTAGATACTTGATTTGTGGCTGTTTTATTTTATTGTATTTGTGTAATGTTAGATACTTGATTTGTGCTGATTTATTTTGTTGTATTTGTGTAGTATTAGATATTTGATTTATGGCTGTTTTACTTTGTTGTAATTGAGTAGGGATTGTGGATATATTATTTTATTGTATTTGTGTGTGTAGAGTATTTGATGTCTGAATGTTTGTTTGTTTTACATCGTGTAATTATACTTTCATTAAAATATCATACAATGACTCATTTAAATAAAGTTTCAGAACTTCATATTCTTTATTTCAAAGATTAGAAGTACAAATCTGTGAAGTGTACCTGTACCTAGTTACAATTGTTCATGTAAAGTTGTGAACAGGGATGTTAGCTTTTAGTCACAGGTAAATAAAGTAACTAAACCCTCGTGTTACATATTTTTGCCACTTCCGTTATTAAAAAGCTAATAAATGCTATAAGTATCGGTTATATATTTCAAGTATTAATAAATAGAAAATCATGTATACGAAAAAAACACAATAGAATAGGAAATATTACAAAATCCACTTAACGTTTCAGAGAATGAGATCAGGAGTGGATTCTCTTCTCATAATTAAATTTTTACTATTTCTACCCAACAAACAATAAAGCAAGTCGAAACAAGAAGAATGTGAACAACACCATACAGCCAACAGTCGGTATTATGTGGTACATAGTAACAACAATGTGCGTTTTGTATCTTTTACGGTGAAACTGGTAACATGTGATAAAGTTATAATCCATGTTTCCAAATAAATCATGTCAGTGACTTAGCTTCTAAGACATTACCTTTTATCTTTAACACTCCATGTTTAAAACTTTATTGCATGTGGTGCAGTAATATTAGAACCGCAACTGCATCTTGTTCGACTTTCTTGACTAACATACCATAATCCCAAACGACAACAATCTGCTCATATATCCTAATACGAAATCTAGTAACTTCAAGCACAAGCTTACAAAGCGAAACTCAGTTTGTAAGCGTAGTTTAAAAAAACATGAAATGCCGGAATATTTTTGAAACTTTCAGTTTTAGTGCCTCAGATACATCAAATCACCTATCTATCGATCACAGTAATCTTCCATCATATATTTATTGACAATTTCAAAAGTGTTTCTAGGGGATTGATTTCACTCAGGAGGGTTTAAAATTTTGTGACTTCAGTAAAGTGTAACTTCTATTACAATGTTTTCAGATAAGATATTCTTGTTACTTTTAACGTACAGTAACAAATGTCTTAGATACATTGCATTTTTTTTCATACTCATAAATTAATTTTTATCCAGACGTTAGTTTACTACATCCTGATACTGACTTTTGAGACTAAATTAAAATTTAAGGTGGCCATAAAACATTTTTACTTCTTTGCTACAGAACTTTAAATTATTTATTACTTTTCCTATCGGAAATTCTATAAAACATGTTATTTTTTGCTTTGTTTTTCAAATCAAATAAAACTTTCATCTCTTCTTGCGAAAATTCACTAATATGTTTTTTTTTGTTTATTTAGTAGAGTCAATTTCACGCTCTTCAATATAACATCTGTTTGGTACAATGTTGTGTTTCATGTGCAAGTTTAATCATTTGGATTTAAGTACTGAAACTTAATTTTTTTTAAGTACCCTAGGGAGTTGAACTCATTGTTTATATAGTGATTGCTATAGAACTTAAAATGGGAAATTTTCATGAAGTATTTGCTATATTACAGTTATCTTTTTTTTTCTCCACAGCTAACTCACCTTTGTGGAACACAGGCTCTTGATTTTATAGCTTCAAAAACTGTTTGTGTAAGGAATGATGTGTTTGAAACGGAAGACATGAACCACATAATTTATTTTTGACTTTGTGAAACTATAAATCTCCAATTCTAATCAGGCTCAAGGCAACGGATTTGTCTTCTTTCTTGCTGTTCCTGATTGTAAAGCTCAACGTCCAATAATCTCTACACAAGCTCGAACTTTCTCGGTCATTTATAGTGGATAAATCTTTATGATCAAATTTGTCTCCCATATTGTAATCATCTTTACCTTAGTCACGCTTGTAACTCAGAGATCGTTTTTCGCCTGTGAAAACTTGGAATCTTAAAATGGTAAGTGTATCTTGTAATAGTAATTTAAACTTAGAATATATTAATTAAACAGTTATCAACATATGCTAATCCTTATCATAAGTGTTTTCATCATTAGTTTAATAACTTGTGTTACGTTAAAGTTTTATTAACCCCAAACACTTGAGTAACAACAAATATAAAAAGCATTTTCTAGTGGATGTTTTTGATCAGCTGACATATAACACTCGTTTGAGCAACATGTTCCATTATTGATTTAATACAAGTGATACAGCTCGAAACTATAGTACTCAGTTGATCACAAATATTCATCATGGGCGAAGATGTTTCGTATTTAAGATGTAGATAAACGTCATGCTTGTTGTATGGTTATATATAGAATCATTCGTTGATGGTATATTGAATTTATTGAAGCAGCAAAACCATTTTTTTTCATTCATTTCGATGCTCAACTCGCACTTGAAGCAGCTCTTTCTTCGGCAGTTTTTACGATGCGAAATTTTAATATCTAGATCTTTATTTACGTAAAAGAAGTGTTTTATAGATAAATTATGTACATGCATTTTTTATTTAAGACATTTTAAATTAACTTTGTACTGTAGTCCTTATGTTGGTGCGGTGACAAATGAGTGGCAGTACATAATTAGTTACGCTATCGTAAGTAACGAAACGTTTTCTGCTTGATCAGAAGAAGAATTAAGTATATTAAGAAAGCTCCAGTTTACTCTTTAGGCTTGATAAAATTTCCTGATACGAAAGATGGTCTATCTTACACTATAATGAACAGAGATAATGAGAAATTACGATCATTTTAAACTGAAGATTCGAAATCCTAAATATCGTTACGTATAGGAGAAACGCTTTGTTATCAATTTAATAAACATGTTTAGATTATTTGTTGCTCTTGTAATTCTCTAACATCGGGACGCGAACCATAAATCCTATGATTCACAGTCCGAGCTCGTTAAATATTTGGTCTAGAAAGAAATATCAACCTTAAAACATTTGTAACTCCAATGAATGGCTCCAATCTTACCTATATTTTTATATATAAGAAATTATTTCGTGCCCTATTTTATGACATACAAGAACAGTTATAAGTCATAGATGCCAGATTATTTCAATTCCAAAGTTCAGTACAACACGCTGTATTTTGTGCATTCATAAAAAAATATCCAAAAAAACAGAGTAATGAAAGAAACGATATAGTTTAGGAGTGTTAGGTGATAAACTAACCATGTTTACTGTATATATATATATATATATTAGAATAAATGTAACTGCCACCAGGGCATCGAAATAAACCAGCCACTGATTATTTTTATCAAAATGAGTTGACTTTCATTTTTCATGTATTTTATTGAGTACTTTATATTTTCGCTGGACTCAGACTCAACTTTTATTTGAAGAACCTGTTGCAAAATATGATCAATAACACTCATCAGAAAATATTTTATCGAACGTTTTATTAATAATAATATACGCGTTAACTGACTTTTAATAAAAGTATGCTTTTATAATACACATTCTCTGTTATGTGAACCTTACTGATGATAAACCGTTGAAGGGCTGTTTTAAGCAGCATTAATTTGTATTTAGCTATATATCGTTTAGTCAAAATTATAAAAATTAAGATTCTATATATATATATGTATGTATGCGTGTGTGTTTGTGTGCATATTAGAGTCGCTTGTCATAAGCAGCATCTCCTTGAGATATTTGACAACAATACGAAACCCTAAAACCCAAACAGGGGCAAACTGGGAAGAAAGAGTCATCTTTCGAAAGTACTCGGGTTATAGGATTTCGTATTTTTGTTTTTAATCTATTTCACGTGTTTTTCTAACATAACCATAGAGATATGTATTATTGATTAAGAAGTAAGGTCAAATATGATATTATTTTTTCTTTTTTTAGGTAATAAGACTTAAGCCTCATTAGAAGACGAAGACGATAGTTTCACAAGAAGTAATTTAGTAGAATGTTGCAGATTCTCGTTGTTTTGAGTGTGTTCGTCTCTGTGTTGTTTCGAAATGAAAATATCTACGTTGTTCGGATGAATTTTAAGTCAAATCTTACATAAACAGTGAAATCGCAAGGTGTTTTCCCGTGTATCATCCAGTTAACTGCTTTAAATATTTCACATTGTAATTCAGGCTGCTTTAGTGGCAGACAGTTACGAAGACATGAAGAAACAGTTCGTTTCAACGTATAGTGTGAACAGTGAACGTTTGTTTGATGTTTTAACGAATAACACAATATCATATAGTTTTGTTGAAAATAGAAGACTCACTTCTGACTTCATGACACAATGGGTTATTAAAGAACTTTAACGAGAGAATATTATTCCAGTGGACGACGCTGTCTGAACTACGTCCATTATTGAAATAAAAGCAAATAAGATCAATGTTGAACACTAAAACTGTAATCAGTTATTTTGCTTGAAAATATAATAGTTTATTACGTCACATTACGATTGTAAAAGATCCTAATCGCAAAATCTCAAGCAACGTCAAAGCACCTTCTTGATATTCCTCATCGGTTAACCAGCAATTTGTCGCGTTGCTCTAAAATAAGATTTGATGTTATTCAAGAATAAATAAACAAACAATAATTGTAAAACTATTTCTCTTTGTCTAAAAATAAAAATGTACTTATCTCTTAAACTACTATTGTTCAAATAATATTTTCAGACGTTTCTTACAGATTAACTAACTGTCAGCTAATAATTAATCTGATCTTCAGCAGATCTTTACTTCCATGTATTAAGAATATTAAACAGATCAGAGAGAGAGCACGCGTAATCATTCACC